TCATCATCTTCTTCTTCTTCTTCATCATCATCATCATTATCATCACCATCATCATCTTCTGCTTCTTCATTTTCTTCTTCACCATCATCCTCATCCTCATCCTCAGCATCATCTTCATCTTGATCATCATCATCAGCAGCAGCATTATCATCATCATCATCTTCATCCTCATCATCATCATCATCATCATCACCATCATCATCTTCTTTTTCTTCTTCATCATCATCATCATCATTATCATCACCACCATCATCATCATCTTCTTCATCTTCTTCTTCACCATCATCCTCATCCTCATCATCATCTTCATCTTGATCATCATAATAATCATCATCATCATATTCATCTTTGTCATCATGATCATCTTCTTATTATTATTCATCTTCTTCTTCACCATCATCATCATCATCTGCATCTTTATTTTCATCTTCATCATCATCATTATCATCATCATCATCATCAACTTCTTCTTCTTCTTGATCTTCATCATCATCATCATCACCATCATCATCACCACCACCATCATCATCATCACCATCACCATCATCATCCTCATCATCATCATCATCATCATCTTTTTCTTCTTATTCTTCTTCATCTTCTTCTTCACCATTATCCTCATCATCATCTTCATCCTGATCATCATCATCATCATCACCATCATCATCATCATCATCATCATCTTCTTCTTCTTCTTCTTCTTCTTCTTCTTCTTCTTCTTCTTCTTCATCATCATCATCATCATCATCATTATCATCACCGCCATCATCATCATCTTCTTCATCTTCTTCTTCACCATCATTCTCATCATCATCATCATCTGCATCTTTATCTTCATCTTCATCATCATCATCATCATCATCACCACCATCATCATCATCATCATCATCATCATCTTCTTCTTCTTCTTCTTCTTCTTCATCATCATCATCATTATCATCACCGCCATCATCATCATCTTCTTCATCTTCTTCTTCACCATCATCCTCATCATCATCATCATCTGCATCTTTATCTTCATCTTCATCATCATCATCATCATCATCATCATCTTCATCATCATAATCACCATCAGCAGCAGGAGAAGCGGCAGCAGCCTCGATCGTCCCGTCCGAAGCGACCGGACCAGACGATGAATGGGCTGTCGGCGGCAGGTTGAAGCGCATGTGATTTACGAGGAAGACGGGCCAAGGGAGGCAGGATAAAAGGCGGCCGGACTGGAAAACAAGCGTTGATGCATATCGGCTGTCAGAGCCCTGTTTTTCCGCTCGTTCACCTTCTCTCTGTCGGTCTTCCAAACTGTACTTGCGCGTGTGTATGTGTCCATGTGTGTATGTGCGTGTGTGTGTGTGTGTGTGTGGACATGTATCACAGGAAGCGGATAACTTGTTTCTCCCATAATTCATCCTTCCCCCAAGCGAGGCCGGTTCCCGATCTGGACCCTTTTAGCGGTCAGTGCTGGCTGTTGTTGCCTCCCTTGACGGGGCCAAAGTGTCACGATCCCAACCGCCTCCGCCCAACCACTTACCCGCCCACCCAGTCATCCAGCCGCGCTGACGCCTGGGGCGGCTGGTTGCGCTCAGTTC